CCCCCCTTTTTTTTTTTATTTCCTTTTTTGTCCATCCCCTTTCCCAAATACCCACATCCTGCCACAGGCAAGAGGCGCTCCATGCTGACATTAAAGAACCAAAACCAATCCAAGGACTTCATCAAAGCATGTTTCATTTTAACCTTATTTCAATGGAAACCACATGTTTTTAAACAATCTTACTCAACCTTTTCCTCTTTGCTAATTCTGCAATTTTAGACTTCTGATTCTGTGTTGATCACTGAAAATTTAAGTGCCGCTGAGACTTAGGGATGACAGGATTAGGTGACATATTAAGGCATATATACACTCCTGTAAACTATGTTGTCTTATGGATCTGAGTAAATTAAATACCTGCCTAAATGTTTTTTTATGTATCTGTGGTTTCTAGTGACCACTACTTCTTTACTTTTGATTAACTGTATATTAAAATATTCATAGCTTAACTAGTGTGTTAACTGACAGAGGATGGAAAATTAACCCACCACCTAAGATTGTCTTTGAAATCCATCCATTATGATGAAAACTGTTCTTGTTGTTTTATGGTTATGCATTCATTTTCCTCACACTTCTTGGGAATATAGGAAAATGAGGTATTCATATAACTCCTATATAAATTTCACCAGGCAAAAAAAGGAATCCAGATCTTACCCCTTTCTCCCTCCCTTCAAACTAGGAAATACTGTTTCAGAAAAGGTGTTCGTAAATACTTAAAACTTCTGGGTTTTTGTCAGGACCTTTTTTTTTGTTTGTTTTTCATACAGAATAGCATATGTGATTTGAGTTCAAGATTATCCCTCTCAAAAAATAAAACAATTTAAAAAAATAACAAAAAAACCCCCTCAAAATTTAAATTGTCTTCCGAGCATATCTTATCACATTTACATTTAGTGTCCAAAACAATTTGATTGGTAACATCAGTGCCAGCACTACAATGTCATACAGCGACTTCATGGTATGCTTTGACAGTTCGTCTAAGTCTCCGTTCCACCAAAAAATTACAAAAGGTTCTGCAGAGCTTTCCTTAGCAAGCTGAAGCTTACTAGTCATTTGTGGATGCGCATAAAAGCTGCTTATAGCACAGCTATGGCCTAAGCTATTTTCTAAGCAATAAATGGTTCAAGTCATCTATTTTGTCCTGAAATGCTACCTGTAGTTACAGCATTGCTTATAAATGGTCATAGTAAATTCAGCATCAAAGAGAATATTACAGAAAAAGACAGCAGCAGAAGCATTAGCATTATCTAGTATTTATATATGTTATCAACATAACACAGCAGTAAAAGGTTTAAATGTATATTAATGGGTACCGTGTCTAAAATTTACTAAAGTACCTATTTAGTGTATTGGATATTTTTCTCAAGGAGTGCTTGCTGTGTCTAAACAGCATAATTAGATATGTGACTTAGTACAGTTAATTCCTATTGATTAAATAACTTATTTATGTAGCAAAGGAAATGGAAAGATACAAAATGTTTTCTCCCTCCCAGTCATGATCCTGTATTTAATGCTGACATGATCATCAGAAAGCCTACCACATGTAATTACTAACCTCAAACAGATCTTGAAAGGTCTAAGCCATAGCATGGGCCATATAGGTATAGCAATGTGGCACCAGGTACGTCATGTGGCTTGCAGTCTGAACTCAGGGATTTTGCTGTTTGGTCACTGTACTTATGGCCACTCTGTCATTAAACAGGTTTTTATTTAATGACATACAAAAAAAAGTGTGGAAAAAAGAAAAAAAAAAATTCTCAAGATACCTGTTTGTTTTCAGAAGCAAGGTCTGCCACTGCAAGCTTCTACATTAAACGCTGTGGTATACGCTTTGCTTCTCTTTTATAACTGCAGAAAGACAATTAAGAATGGCAAGAAACAAATGCCCTATGCATGTGCTGATACCATCCTTAGGTAGTTATTTTGCACAATGAGAATTAACTGTACTACAGATACCCAGAGAAAATGTACATTACCATATGCCAATATGAAACAAAACAGACATGATATAGCTTTTTTGTACTTAAAACCTGTATATTCCCTTCCCAAACTTAGGTAAAAAGCAAACCCACCCTTTCCTTCCTGTTACACAGAATAACGTTTAGGTTCCAACCCTCCCCTTTCAGATAAAGTGCGCTGTCCATGGCAGACCATAGGAGTAATGCAACAGAAAAGCCCCTTTTAGTGTACTATTTAAAAAACAAACTGAAGTCGATTGAGCTTTCCTCTAGGTCTTGTGAAAGAGGAGAAGCCTAAGGGAAAAACATCCCCTTCACTGTCACTGTTGTTAATAGACATAGCCTTCGTTATAGGGGTGGGTGTTGCAGCAGCCACCATCCTGCATGTAGACCATGCTCTCATCAAAGTGGGACAGAGGCACAGTGTCCTCCTCGTTGATGTGGCGCTCCATGTCAGTCTTCAGTAAGGGGCGTTGGTTGTCTGGAAAAGCCATGGAGAAAAGCGCTTCAGGGTCGCAAACAAACTTGTAGACATATCTTTCTCCAGCCACCTTAGGACAACAGAAGGGAGAAAAAGGTGCAGTGTAAGGACTTGTGGTTTTGCAACTCCAACAGTCTTGTGAAGAACTCACCTTCGTTACACAATTAATAATGTGACATCAGAAATGGTAAGTCAATGACCTGGCAAAGACAACCGGGATCTGCAGAAGCAGACTGAGATTTTGCCACATGTGATATCCTGTTGGAAGATGGATTCTGCTTCTAAACATTTGTTTGTGATAATTTCCTATACTTACCCACAAATGGCAATGTTCTTATTGGAAAATGTAAACAAAGAGTCACTCCAGCGGCAAAATAAAATTAGTAAGTCCAACACTGTGTGCGAAGTGGAAAAAAGAATCACATTGCATGATAGAGATCTGTATTTCACTTTATGCAGATTGATTTATACTTAAGTATAAAAGCACTTAAGTTACTGCATGCTGACTGTACAGGGACAACATAAGCAAATACGTAGGCTAATATGTACTTAGTAATTGCTCATGCAAAGCTGGGACATTTGGATTTGCTTATGGAGGGGCAGTTTGTCCAACAATCCCAAAGTTTTCCCTTATTCAGAAATAGCACTAAATGTCTGTGCTTCATCTTCCTAAAAGATAAAGAATGGTAGCAATACAGAACTGTTGTCTTATTTTTTAAAAAAAGTAAATATAGCATCTTCTCAAGCACCTTATTTAAAGAATTATGTTAAAAAATATAAACAATGTTGCATACTCGTAGTTTATTAAGATGATTTTAAAATAAAGATCATATTGTCTGCTTCTTGCAACTGCAGCTAGCATTCATGGCATTGGAAATGAGTGAATGAAGGTGGTGGAAGTGTTGCAAACTATATGTGTGCAAAGTAGTCTGAAGCACCTCCTTAAATTTTCAGCTTATTTATTTTACAAATAATGTAAAGTTTTGGTAGAGGCTATATCTGCGGTAGAATTTTTTTCATCAAATTAATGTCAGCAAGCTTGACAGACTGAAGGCTGCATTCAGAAACTGGGTATTTGCATAACCTGTTATCACTGCTTAACTTAAAACAAAGGTGGAAAAAAATGTGTATACAAACATTACAGTAAGGAAACCTGCTATTATCTACAATCACCATTATTTTTTAATATACACTAACTAACCAGATAGGGTGATGTCAGGGCAAACCTTAAACACGGCTGTCAGAAAAGTAAGAATCCAAGCTTTTAAAGTATGTGTTAAATACATTCTTGTAGATGATGAAGTAGTTTAAGAGGTAGCAAGCTAGCTGTCAGAATTACTTGTAAACTTTCTGTATTAAATGGATGTGTGGGTTGGGCAGCATTATCAGACTCATGGTATTCCCATCCCCACCTTTTCAACTTGTTTCACTCTCAACTACTTATTCTTGCCTCTGAGCTGCCTTTGAACTGTTCCAGCACAACTGCCTATGCAGCTGAGCTGTAACCTGCAATGAGGAACTCTTCTGCCTGAAGCACCACCCAGCAAAATCAAGCATTTCTGCTTTTCCCTGACTGGACTCAGTCTCCAGCAGACCCAATGCACAGACATGTGACACATAAAAATGGATGAAGCACTGTGCTACTGAAGTACCACAACCCAATACCAGCCCAGACTGTCATGCGAGTTAACTCCTGGATAGTGAAAAAGGAGAGTGCTACAATGATCCTATCATCAAGGCAAGAGAACTTGTAACAGACAACTCCAAACTGAGACTTCACAACAACCCACTGGAAAAGCTGCCCAGTAACTTGAGCTGAGAGTATTTTTTCCATTCATGGAATTGGCAAACGGCAGGTTTAAACATGTTAGTCATCACAGGTCACAAAATGAATGTGAAAATATATGGAAGAAGTTTTACAGCACAAGGTGTTCATCATGATCTATGGTCACACCTGCCAGTTTTGTAGGTGCAGCAGACAGGACTCTCCGATTGATTTCTCTGTCAATCTACATAGTACTACATAGCAAGATTTAAAAACATACACGTAAATCAGCAAGCCACAGTAGGAGGACAGGCTGAATACTGTCACCAAGACCAGACTGTTATATATAAATTATTGTTAAATATTTCTCATAATTCAGCCTATTATAAAATATTAACTTCCACTTAAAAACGGTATTATTACAATACTATTGGTAAAATATTAAAGTATTTGGTATGTTAATGGGTATAATTTTTCTCCCCTCTCTTGCACTTACCAAAGTACCCAAGTGCTGGGCAGCTAATTTAGACCTGCAAAACATTATTCATACCACACTCTACTGTTTGCCTTTCCCAGGTGCCAGGAAGCTCTTTTGGATATTTTTGAATGTTACCTCTTACCCTATAATCATGACGTGCATTGTCTGAACTAAAACCACAGGCCTTTTTTTCATAGAAAAAAATATCTCAATGAATATACTGGACCTGGTAGGAGAAAATGCTTAGTGTTTGCATAAATAGATTAAAAACCTACCTAAGCAAGGCAGTTACAAGTACTCCTCATAAACTGACTTATGGATTAACATGAAACACTAGTGAAATGTAATACAAAATTAGCTACTCACTTTTTGCATGATTCCCTTTTCGTAATAATAGCGAAGTGATCGGCTAAGTTTATCATAGTTCATAGCTGGCCTATTTTTCTGAATCCCCCAGCGACGTGCCACCTGCCACAAAAATGGATTAGCATTGATTTGTTAAATGCATTTAACAAGCAGATCTTATCATCAGATACATTATTTGGGAATGGAGGAGGGGGAACCCTGCAGGTGGAACTCAAACACAAGAGAAAATGTTGCCATGACCTGAATTTCCCAGGTACTACCATGATTTTTAATTGGACACACAGTCATCCATTAAACCTGAAGCAGACTTACTTATTTGCAAATGTGGCAATAGGTTGGGAGGGGTTTTTGTTTGTTTTTAATAAAGAAATCCAATGAAAAAACAAACCCATATAAAGAGATGATAGATAAAATATATTTATCAGGTTCCACCAGAAAACTTTTATGGAAAAAGAAAAGTTTTCTTTGGTTTGATACTGTGGATAACTGTACTATTCCTGTGTTTCTCCTGCTGTCAGAACACTGAGTTATATTAAACACACATGCACCCACACTTAGTTCATGAACTAATACAGACTGTACTTGGACTGACAGCGATGTTGAGATTATTAAGAGACAGAAGTTGAAAGTCAACTCCCAGTCTTAAATACTACTTTAGCAAAGGAAAGGAATTATCAGAGGAGGCACAGTAATTGCTTGGATTATGGTAGTATGAAGAATGGGACAGAAATTTTATAGTTACAGTTGCATAATTTCCCTTAAATAATAATAAAAAGGGAGTTGCAAGCAACTTGTGAAGCCATTCCATAGAGAACAATATGCCTTTTGCTCTGACTTATGATTTATATTTGCCTTTATGGTTCATGTTTTATTGTCAAAGGTAGTTCTGGACAAAAGAGACTCTGTTTAAAGAGCTTAACTGCTTATTCCCCAGCTGAAATTATAATCGGCTGTTGGTGACATTTCAATTACTGGCTGTACAAATGACTATCTTGCCACCAGAGGGTAAAAAAAGTCAGAGCTGATGAACTCTTTAAAGCACATTTTATAAAAATGTTTGAGAGCTGCATATGCATATAGCTGAAAAATAGGAGAGTAGCCAAGCAGCTTCTCCACAGACTGCTCTACAAAACTTTCCCATAGGTGTCTGGAGAAGCCTTTTGATGCAAACTGTAGACAACACGCAGCGTTGAGAATTGAAGGGGACTAAATAACAGCAGCAAAATCCATGACTTTGATCTTCATCTATACAACAATTTTAAAAATTTATTTTTAAAGCATTATTTCCTTTCAGTGGTGCAGCTTTTCAGGCTCATGTAAATTATCATGGCTGCTAACTTCAAGTTATGTTATAGCTATATTGAAACATACCTCCAATCATGGTAATTTATTCCAGCTGCAGATTTGGCCTAGATGCATAACCTTGATTCGCCTATTTATCTTTGTAACACATACCTACATCCCTCTCTGTTTATTCCTGCCAAGTTTTTTTCTACATTAATCAGAGTCCTTAAAAGTCCCCAAAGTAACAGGCTTGCATAATAAAGAAATACACATCAAAGATAACTACAACAAAATAACAGTTGAGAATATGCTATATTGTATGGTATTTTGGCATTCCTAAATAAGCAAGCAGGTCCAAAAGTAGTCTTGCTAAGCGAGTCTTCCTGTCCGTGAACTCCACAGCATTTATAAGACTTGCTCTGTGGGATTCAGGCTGAAGGTTACCATCCCTGTGACAAAGCAGCAGAAATGGACCTACGCCCAATTCTCAGCCTCCATATTTCACAGTTACCTACTTTCTGAATGAACTATGGTGCTCAAGGAGCTGATACATACTCATTTCTCTTGTCACACTTTCTACAGTGGCATAAACCTCCACAAAGTGGTAGGATGGAAAGGTCATGTCATTGACATCCTAACCTGCCACAGCTGAACCAACAAGCACTTTGACTTCCCTTCAATTAACACTTGGCAATCAACAAAAGTGTGCAACTTCCCATGGGCTATTCATATTTTAATCGACAGTTTCCGTTACATCCATGACATTCATATGAAAACAACTTAGGCTCCTTTGTACTCCCTAAGAGCACACAGGAGTGAGCAAGTTTCAATTAGACTGCCTCCTCCAGATCTTGGATGCAGTACTGCTCAGAAACACAAAGCAACTGCTGTGAAGTCAGACAAGTAGATGATCTGGTTGACTTAAATCAGAATATCCAGTTCTTCAGGGAATTACACAATAGGGAAATGTTAGGGTTTTGTTTTGCTACCTCCCCTTCCTTAGCTAATAAAATCTATAAAGTTCTTGAACCATCAAACCATTTTTCAATAGATCTCTTTAATCTTGAAAAACTTTGGACATACTTAAAGCCAAAGCATAACTAAGAGGGTAAAAAAACCTGAGACTGGGAGAGAGGGAAAAAATCAGATACCTCGTTCACCAAAATCAAACAAAAGTCTTTCCAAAGATTTCACTCTGTTCTGGACCAGGTCACACAACTAAGAATGTAGTCTGTGAAAGCTGAAGACCTGCCAGCAAAGTTATGGTATCAAATTGACTGAGACTATTCTGTGGTCAAATCCTCAGATGCACAATGCCAGGATCAGCCACGGTGACTATGACTAGTGCGGGGGATGCTCAGAGCCAGCACACGGGTCCTTCCAGCAACCTGTCCCTCAGACAGACCATGTCGGGAAGGAAAGCGATATCACTCCTGTCACCATCCCCATCTCCTCTATCAACCCTGTTGATAGATGGCTGTTGGCAGACGATGTAACTTAAATGCAAGAAAGCTTTCAGATTGCTTATGCCAGTAGATGGATGGCAAACAGCAGAAATAGCTGGTGGAGTGCAGAAGCAGCCATACACCCCCAAAACTTCCTACTCAGCTCCACCTCAGAGGGAATCCTGCTGGAAAATTTGCTGTGGTCTCCTCTATTACCCAACCCTGTTCAAGGGGAAAAAAAGTAAACCAGAATGATACTGCTTTTTGACACCCCTAATCAAATCATCCGCATAAGTATTACAACACAATTCACGCACACCGGATTTTCCGCCAGTTTCCATGGTTGTACAGAACACAGGATAGATTACTTAAAGTTAACCAGTCCAAAAAATTTACGTAGTAAGATGTACAATTTATTCCTGTTTATCACATAAGCGAACTAAGTCATGTTTCAGCAAATATTCATGAATACAAATAATTTTATCTACGCCATGAGTCCTTCATGGTTCAGGGGAGATGTGCATGTGCATGAGTGTTTGCAAGCCTAGGACCTAAGTGTGTACAAAACAATCTAATGATACAGATAAGCAGGAAGAGTCTGAAGAAGACTCTAAAGAGGGGGTTTATATAATTTTGATGGGATTTTACTGCCTAATGATCTCAACCTCCTCCTTTGCCATCTGTCAGACTTGGGGTCTTTCACTCTATAGCCTAAAAGTTCCCAATTCCCACATCTTCACACTGAAGAATAGTTGGTGTTGAAAGACTATTCAGGGACAAGTTTTCAAAGGATTTTGGAATGCAGCTTTATCTATGAAGTGGTTCTAAAAAATCGGCCCCACAATTAATGCAGAGTATTTTGGAACTCTAGTACTTGCAACATTTTTACTATTTGTGAGACTAGAAAATTAAGTCTATGCTTAACCACACCTCCCTCTATTCTAACTGAAGCACTTTCCTTGCCAGTCCTTTCTGTCACCCTTCTAAAGTGCTACTGAAGCAAAAAATTGAAGAAAAAAAGGCCTAAGTCTGAAGGAACACTATTAAATTTGCAGGATGGGACAGTGGATGTTGGGACACACTGCCTGTCTAACTCACCTCCTCCGGCTCAATCAGCTTGAACTCCATGCCTCGGCCAGTCCACGCTATGAAGTGAGAGTTTGATGGGTCATCAAGAAGAGCTACCAAGAACTGCCACAACTGAAGCGAGCCTCGCCGTTGATACGTGGGTCCCTCACGGTACATGCCTGGCTCCTGTTTGACATCACCTGCACAGAATAGCGACGACGTTAGATGAGCAACGTACAAAAATCATCATTGCTCAATTTGTCAGATAAATTGGTAAAGCAATCATTAGGGTTAATAAAAGAGAGGGTAAGAATTCTTACTACCCAACCACCCACAAAAGCAACATTCCCCTGTCTGCTGTTAATTGTAAACACTCTTACAGTAACATATTCATACACTAAAAAATACCTAAATTCAATCATGATTTAAGGAAGTCTCCCTAAGTCTGTCCCCATTTACTTCTTATACATGCAAATCTCACTTGCAAACCATTTTGCAATATCCTCTAGCTGAAAGAGCATGATCCATTTTTTTAAGCAGCTCTGATGCCTGAAGAACTGCGTTTATGTAGTATACTTTGCACAAGCCCCAGTTTTGGAAATGTAATGTATGCTTCATAAAGCTGCAAAACCCTACTGAGTGAAACTTCTTTTGCATGCAAATGATTCTAAGGAAAATTTGACAAAGTATTTGACTTGGACTTAAACAGCATGTGCTTTATGTATAGGTATGCAAATCCTGCAGATATGTGAGTTCTTTTGTGGTGTATTGGACTTGCATAGAAGCATGTATTACTTTTACTCATGTCTACCTATTAGATTAGTATTCCCCCTGAAAAGCAGTAACTTAATTTTTCTAAAATTTCAAACCTAGAGGAAGCTTTTAAAAACCATTAATAATATTCTGCTAGCTGTTCCACAAACTGCCAATGAAAGATCATCCTGCTACATACAAGCTGTGTCTCTGTTGTTTTTAAATCACAGTCATACTAAACAACTCATGCAAACAACAGCTGGAAAGGTCTGATGCTAAAGCAGAGAGTATTTTTCTTCTGCACACAATGACAGCAATTCTTGATATGCTGGTAAAACTCTTCATTCCAACTACCAGAACAGCAGTACTCTCCAATAAGCAGTGTGACCTGTTTAATACAGAAAACCAGGACTTTACATTCAACCACAACATTAGGATACTTTGATGGCCATTACAAAAGAACTCCGTGTATTGAAAGTAGGACTAATAATATTAAAAATGGAGCATTTCCTTTTGTAATCAGGAAAGAAAATTCAGTCAATAGCTGTGGAAAACAAATAAATCAACACAAGGCTTTTTAGTTTATGTGAGGTTCAAGTTCCAGTTCTGAAAGGCCTTCCTTTTTCAAGGACAGGATTTTTCTTTTAATGATAGCTGAGCAATGCACAAATAGCAAGTGCAGTATTACGGAGGATCAGATTCTTTGCCTGTGTTGATCTTTGATTTCAAACGAAGCAGCTGAGAATCTACTTCTGAAAAATCAAGACTAGCCCTGGGCTTATGGGCTTATCCTACTTTTTCTCTACTGGCCAAAACATGACAACACATCTACTATTTTTTCCTCAAAAGTCATAACGCTACAAGTACAAGCACACCTATCTGGACCACAACATCAGTCTTGCAGAGTACAAGATGTTCTCTCAATGGACAGTCATAGAAGCCAGCAGCAGACTGCTGGCTTTGCAAGCACACAAGTATTTCCAAACATTTATTTCTTTTACTTTATTTGTATTTCTTTTCCATTTTCATTCCCTTCCCTGTACAAAAGCCAAACGAAAAGTATTTTCAAGAAAGACAGAGTTTCAGCTTCTTGTAGTACAGAGTCTGACTCCCATAAATGTAAATATGAATTTGCCACTGGTACTGAAAACAGATCAGGTCCACAATCAGTTTTGGGGAAGCAAAAAACAAACAAACAAACAAAACCCAAAGATAGACACGATGTGTTTTAAAAAGGAAAAAAAATATTTTTTGTATGTTCCAAAACCAGGGTATGAAGTAGACTTTCAATGAATCAGTGAAAATGTCAATCCAGTGACAATGCAATACTGGATTAAGCCATCTTCAGTTAGGTCTAATATTATTTAAAATCCTCTATTTATTTCTTGGTATTTCTTACCAAGCCTGGAATGCATGTGATACCTCTGTTTCAGGAATGTGCAATTCTTTGGGTTACTTTCATTTTAGAGTCTCCCATTCTCATCAAACAAAACTGCTGCTAGATATGCTATAGTTTTGTAAGCCATGTAAGTGATTCTCAGGGAAAAACAAACAAAAAGCAGGAGAAAACCCCCAAGAGTTCTTCAGCTCTACTTTTACCTATGGTCAGAGAGCTGTTCACAAGTTTATCTGAAAGTATCTAATTCTTCCTGCTAAAATAAAGATGGACATACATATGTAAACACAAATAAGACACTCTAGAAGATGTAAGTAATTGGTCTCCAAATTAATTCCCAAAGTTGCAGACTACAGAGTCACTGACAAGAAATACTGAGTCCATCTACTTTGTCCATAATGAAATAAATCTGAAATCAAAGGAGTTACACCAAGAAACTGATTTTATGTCAGAGTAACTGAGCATAATTTGGGCCATTTATTTTAATTGACCTCAGAATCCCTCTTGAAAAAATGTCTGTTGTAATGGGTAGTGTTGTGAAAAGATCATTGATTTGTTATCAATCCCACTGAAAAATAAACCACTGGTACAATGTTTAACATAGTGCAAATACACTGACACAAACACAGAAATGCCCTATACACTCACTCCCCATTACTCATCACTTCACAGACAGCAAGACAAGAGGCTTAATCCTCAGTAAAACAAAAGGTCCTGCTTTCTCTGCTGTTTTGTTAATTTTAAGAACAGCTTTCATTAAATTTCAAACAACAAGCGGTATGTGATAATCAGTGCAATGGAAATCCTCCTATTACTTTTAACAGTACAGGAGCTGAGCTCCTCTGCTGCAACTCTTGATACAGCATCTTTCGCTGGCAAAAGTCGAACAACAACCTATTGAAAAGGAGACTTTGGTTTCAAGAGACAAAGGTCAGCTTTGGTTGGGTGCGCTGAAATGGTGTGTTAAGGAATCCTAAAATTGGAATGTTACTGAGCTTTTTTTGATCAGCAACAGAGACAAGTCCCTCATCTCTTTCTTTTTCATCTCCTCACACAAGAAAAAGACAGAGATATGTGTCATACATACCATCAAACTTCTCTGGAACAACGCAAGTGTCATCATAAAACTGCCTAGGTCCCTTTTCATACATACAGCCTGTAAGTTAAAGAGAGAGAGGTGTTTATATAAAAGATGCATGGAGGAAGAAGAGGTCATAGGCTTAATGCCAGAGGGAACACTAAGTCATGAAGCAAATAGGTTAATATCCCACATCCTTTACACACCGCCCAATGACAGCGTTTTGACTTCAGTACAGGGGTGTTTAATTAACGTGTACATTCCCAAAAGACTGTTAATTTCCACCTGCAAAAATGAAAAAGCACCCATTTTTCTCTATGATTTATTCCAAAATGTTTGTCTCATTTCCTGTTTGAATTAGCATGGCTTTGACTTTTAACCATTAGCTCCTGCGGGTCTTCTCCCTGCAAGACTAATAAAAGTCCCACTCAGTATTTCTTCTCCACACTCACAGAACTCGCTCCCCTTGATGTTTTTTCCACTTAGGATCATTCTGTAAAATTTAATTTTTATTGTTAAAAGACAGTCTCTGCAACCCTGCCTTCTTTCTAGCACTCTCTTCTGTACATACTCCTACTTTTCAGTTTCATTTTAAGTTTTGCTTAACCAGAACTGTACTGCATGCCAGTATTAGCCTCACCAGTGCTATTTAGCAAGAGAAAACATCTCCTCCTCTCCTGCCTCCCTACAACCTTCCTTTTGACTGGGCAAACATTACAGAATGTCTTTTTGCCATACGGTTGCAATGTTTGGTTGGGTTGATTTTTGCACTGTGAGGCTGAGGAGGAGGAGGCCCATCAAATCTTTCTTTCCAATACACTATTTCCCCGGTTCCATAGGCCTGGCCTATGTTCAGCATATTAAAAAAACATTTTAATGTGCCCAGATTACCAAACAACTCAAATTGCTTTCTGTGACTGCCCTGTCCTGCCCGTTATCTACCACTCTGCCTATCTTCGTGCCATAAAGTTATCTATTAACTTTCTTCCGTATCTTTACTGAAATGTTAAATAGCAACACTCCTGATATCAATTCCTGCAGAATATAATAGCAAAAATCCATTCAGAGATGATTGCCCAGTGACAGCCACTTTTAGATCTGTCAGTTGGCCAGGTCTTAATGTATTTAATGTGTACTTTATTGATACTGCTTTGTGCTAACTTCTTAATCAGAATGTAATGCACTGGCAAATTGAATGCCATAAAAAGTCTAAATATATGATACAAGTGTCTTGATTAATCAAACTTTTAATCCCAACAAAGAATAGAATCAGATTTGACATGACCTTTATTCCATAAAATCATGTTGAGTGATTTCCAAATACAAAAAACAAATATTTATTGAACATCACTGCTTTTACTACGTCATTCATAACAATTTTACCACCTCCAAGTACGTATGAGTGCATATCATGGCTAAGACTTTTTTCCCCTATCTAGGCTGTGATTAAAACTCAAATCTGTTGACCGTAGCCCTGCAGTTTGTGGATTTTTCCCTGATGTCTTTTCACCTCCCTTATCAAGCTTCTACACTTCATATAGTTTTATATACCACAACTGTTATAAATTCCATCTCCTGTTTCACCCTTCTTGTTAAATACTACCTTTTAATTCTATTTTCTGCCTCTACCCCACCCCAAAAGCTGGTGGGCTTTTAGCTAGATTTATTATCTTTCCAGTTGTGTCTTTTCACTAGTGAATGAAGTCTTCCTAGAAGACTTTGATTCATACATCTGTCTGATCCCATCAATCTCAAAACCAATTTCCTTCATCTTCGTGAAATTTGCCCCTTGGAAGAAAAACAAATAAACCGTAAAAAAAACCAAACAAAAAATCATGCATTGACAAGAAAGATACACCAAAGCAGGAGATCAGAGGGTACAACCCCTCTTTCAGTGGTCATTTTCAATTAGTTCTGTTGGCCTTCTTATTTTTAATACATACAAAGTACTCATAATTACTCGTTTTGACAGTGAACTAAGCTCTGCCCTACTGAAGACGCTGAGAGTTTTGGTATACACCATACGGCTGTACAGTTTGGGCCTACAGAGCACCAAAACATTGCAAAAATCCTAAGAAAAGGAAAAGCCAAAAACCTTTGCTGAAAACTTCTGAAAGTGTAAATGGATTACTTAACAGTTAACACCTGGAAAATATCATTTGAGCAGAATGGGTGAAATGGATAAATTTTTAAGCATCTCTTCTTTTCAACTCCTAGAGGCCTTGAAAAGCAGAATGAGTAAGTTTATAATAAAATTGCTTCTTTCCTGATCAACCTGTGGCACTAAAAGAAGCTACAAAAAAACCAGTGCATCAGAAACTCAAGACTGGGAAGGGAAAGAAAGATGATATAAGTTTTCTCAGAAGCAGAATTAAACCAGTGAAGCCCAAATCCCACGTGTCTTTTTAATTTTTTTACGTTTCTCTCATACAAAAGCAATATAGAATAGAAAACTTAACTTCTGTTCTGTTTGGGTGAGCCAGGAAGCCTTCTTGCCTCATGTAAATAGAATGGCAGCTAGGCACTTCTGAAAGGAGAAGACTGGAATTAGAAGTGTGCAGGTTATCAATGAGACAGGCTGCAGGCAGAAGAGCAACAAAAAGGTTGCAAGTTACAGCAAGGGGGACCCTGTCAACACATAGTGAGCATTTTAGAGCAGCATGCACAAGGCACAACAGAGGAGAAAATCAATGTCAGGATCACAGATCACATCTAACATAGGGACTTGGAACAGAAATCGTATCGTAATCAATTTTTCTAAAAGCTGCCTCCCATGAAAATTACACTTCAGATCATTCACAGACCCAAAAATCCACACAACATGGTACAAATATTTTTAAACTCCGTGCTTGTATATCTATCGTTGTAACTAATTCAACTTAACATTTTTAATCAATTACACAGAAAAGTCTGCCAATCACACTGGAGACTTATAAACTCTACATTAATACAAGGAATGTCAGAGTGAATTTATATTAGGATATTTCTTTTTAGACTCCAGTTAAGGATTTGAAGAGTTTAATGAAATTTTCTACAATTGCTAAGCATTAATCTACAAATTCAGATGCGTCAATTTCAACCTCCACCTATACATCCTTAAACAAAAGATATACCACAACAAAAGAAAAAAAAAAATCAGTGTACACATTATAAGTAATACAGACATTTATTTGCTCTTCCCCACCTCTACTCAAATCCGCAAGAAGAATGAGAAAAAAATAACAGAACTAATGAGAATCATGTTCTATAAATGTCTTTCTATTTTTCCCCATGTCTTGCACTGTCCCCAAGTAGCCGCATCCTGTGCACAGGGACTTGCAAACAGAAATGCACCATAAATGTTTGCCCTTCTAGACCATGTTTAACCCACTTCTTGGATATCAAAAGTCTTGCTTAACAAGTCTATTTGATCTTGTGATAAACTCCTACCCTAAGCTATGCAATGTTACCAATAACTTGTAACTCTTTGAAAGATGCAAACAGAGGTCGAAAGAGCAGACATTATTTTTCCAACACTGCCTACAGACTCTTTCAGACTGTGATTCCAAATTTCACTGTTCACTGACTAGTGATGAGTATCAAAGATTTGGCAGGATAAGAAAATGAGGTTTTACACTGACTTCACAAAACAAGTGAAACACAGGGCAGTAATAATAAGTTTCCACTAACAGTCCACGGTCTCTCTTGCACATCTGTGCTGAACTCTTCATTACCTCCTCTCCTGATGAAGCACTCACTGTTTCTCGTGGCCTGCCTGCTCACGCCTCAAGAATCTCTAATGTCTCGGGCAGCTATTCTGAGTAACCACAGAAATCAGTGATTCAGTGATCACACAAGTCAATTATAGCTCAGTAGACTAGAAGTCAAATCTACAAGTAGTGGTTCACCTGCAAGGAATCATTCATGTTACCAAGTAGATTGAATTTTAAGGAGAATGGAAAAATCTGCGTAAAAAAAGAGGAAGTCGGAGAACTAAAACAGATGCTATTTTCTATTTTAGGTAAAAATTCACTAGTATTGGCAGCAAAAACCTTTTTGACTCATGAATGCCACTCCTGCAAAGTGATACAGCAGAGTACGCGGAATAAAGAATTATGCATGCATCCAAGAAGTTGTGTTCTTAGCCAATTTGGGTTTCATCTCCCATCCTCCTGAGTCAGTTATAATTAACATCTGGAGTCTTTTTAAGGCAAGCGTTGTTTGTACCAACATTACTTAATCTTCTGGTTAGCTTGTATTTAAACAGTCCACAGAGGACCGAAAAATACAGCAAGGAAGAGTTTATTTCTCGTAAAGTAACTAGTCTTGTTATCCTAAAGTGCTATCAGTTAATTTATGACTATCAGAGTGGGTCAGACTCTAATCAAATTGTAGAAACATTTCCAAAGTGATTATTCAATCAAATGACTAACATGGTTAATTAGGAGCCATAAACATTGCTCTGAAGTTCATCAAAGTAATGACTTGCCCAGAAAAATTACTGCTAATTAAATTGCCTGCTGCTTTCATTTCTACCTTATCTAATAAAAAGTCCAACCAATGAAATTTAGCACTGCAGTTTTAAATTGTACTAAATGCTTGACTGAGACCCAGAAGTATTTTTACTAGCTAAGCGGAGCTACTTCAAAAGAAAACATTTTAGTGCAGAAATTACAGAGCAATTACATGTTTTCTTCTTGTTAAAACATTGTTTCAAGACAACAAATGAGACACAATTAGGCATAAAATACTTCCAGGGCAGGATACAAGTGTTCAAGGTGACTGATTCTATCACCTTTTAGCAATTTTTAGTCTTCGAAGAAAAATGTGCCTGGATTTAGGACACACAACAAGCTTTTTTCAGACTTTTAATGAAGTCATTCACATTGTAAAGTTATATCATCTCAAGAACAGCAGAGTCCATTTAAAAAAAACCCCAAACAATCTAAAAATCGGAGACATGGAAAAATTAATTTACTTTTTATATCTCCAGGGATGGTGATTCAACCACTTCACTGGGAAACCTGTTCCAGTGACTGATAACTCTTTCAGTGAAGAAGTATTTCCAAATATACAGCCTAGACCTCCCCTGGTGCAACTTGAGGCCATTTCCTCTTGTCCTATCACTTGTCACTTGGGAGAAGAGACCAACACCCACCCCTCTGCAACCTCCTTTCAGGTAGCTGTAGAGAGCAGTAAGGTCTCCCTTGAGCCTCCTTGCTACAGGCTAAACCACCCCTGTTCCCACAGCCGCTCCTCACAGGACTTGTGCTCTAGACCCTTCACCAGCTTTGTTGCCCTTCCTTGGACATGCCCCAGCCCCTCAATATCTTTCCTGTAGTGAGGGGCCTAAAACTGAACATGGCATTCGAGGGGCCAAGTACAGGGGCCTCTGCCTCGACTCACTGATCCAGCCACTCAAATTCAACACCTCAATTCCTATGTGAAACTTGTCTCCTTCCCTACAGACATAAAATAATGTGATGACACTAAAACTGCAACCTTCTTACTGTTTGCCTGCCTACTACTCCGATTTACACTTTATTACCAACTAAGTCATATTAAGAACAGAAACTGTCCCCAGTGGATACAGCCAGTCTTGCAATTTAACTTACACCATATCCTCCTCAATTGTCCTTTTGGTCTGAAAAGTAATTACATGGGCTTTAGCTCCTAGTTCAGCAATTCAGAGTTGGTGTATCTATACAGAACTAAATGTGCTGTGCCACTTGTTTTCCCGCAGGCAAGAAATACAGCGCATGCAGATTCTTTCCTTTCGTGCTACTGGTCACAGAAGGGAATGCACAAGCTCCTTGAGTAGCTGGGACCAACCTGTCTTCCAGCAGTCAGTCACACATGTCAGTCTGCTCCTGTGCTACACCCACCGTGAATATGCCAGTCCTCTCTTCTGTGCTTCCTTGTGCAATGCAACCATTTCTCTGGTATATGGAGAGGTGGTTGGTGCAGTGGGAGAGATTTTTACCAAGTGCAGAGACAAATGTAAGTTTTTTAAAATAAAACGTTTAAACTAGAACACATCATACTTTTGGCCTCAAACTTACTAACATCACAATCACACTGAAAGTAATGTTTCTTTTCCTGGAATTCCAAGAGTGTGGACAAATTATTTACAAAGGAGCATTTCATCCACCACTGAAACAACACATTTAGCCTCATGGTGGAAAGCCACTGTGCACCACACCACTACTGAGAAGCTCTGACCAGCTTGGTGAAGAGCAATAATGAAATCACTGGAAAATGGACAGGGCTTTTTAGGTAAGAAAGGAAACACTTCAAACTAGATCCCAACAAGTTGCTAAGGTGACACCAGACATCACTAAAAAAGAATCCTTGATCTGTGTTTTGCAGGGAGAAGTATCGAATTATTCTTTTTGATCATGAAAACTATGATTTTGTAAACCTGAAGAACACATTTAGGTTAAAATTTGTATGTGTCTCCAAAAAGAGAAATTCAGGTCAAAATTTAAGAACTGGTGACAATGTCGCTATACCAGAATTGCTTGAGCGTATTTCACAACTCAGATGCTGGTGGATTAGGTTGAATGCACTATCCCCTCAGAAGCTATGTAATTACAGCAGGGTCCTACAAATTGTTAAAATCCTGGCAGTACAAAAGTCAGCATTATTTTTTCATTAGTAGTTTCAGTATGAAAATTGTAGGTGCACTGAAGTTACATGGGTGAAAATAAAGTCACTATCTTCTCTAAAAATGAACCTAAAAATTAAGTAGTCTTTTCCCAAATCATTATGCAGTTTAAAAACATTCAGAATGGAAGGTTTTGTTCTTCATTTTGTCTGTCACTAGTCTTCATACAAGCAATTAGGAAAAAAAAACAAACCCAAAACCCACTAGAAGTATGTACACTCATAGACACACATACATTTCCTTCTAAAAATAGCTAATTAAAAGTTGTGAAGTTTAATTTCTTACATCTCACTTTACAAAAACCTACCAGAGAACTAGTTTCGGCCACACCAGTTCATGTCTAAGTGGAATTATTACACACATACAAAAAGAAAACCTTAAGCAAACAGCTTCCTTTCCACAACTTTGGGTTTTAGATCTATGACAACATCTAATGCATTTTCTGAGACCAGATGTCAACAGCCTGTCTAGGCGATGTGTAACTTTTTATACAGCAGAACAGGAAAACAAAGGCTCATACATTCAGCTCTGAATTGAAATTCCACATGGAGCTGATCTTTTGAGCATACTTTAAAATAATGTATTTGCTTTTATTAACCTCAGTAACTGCAAAATGTATTTTAAACATTGCTTCCCTTTGAATACAACAAAAGACAGCAGTATTTTCTCTCTCCCTTGCTCCTTTTGTTGGTAATCTTACTGCAAAAAAAAATGTCTGTGTTGCTTTTTCTCCCCGCCCCATCCCCTGCCTGTAAAATTGAAGTTGGACAAACACTGCACGGCTGAAGTGACATATTTGAATGGAATTCAGACCAACCAGTTCCTGTTTATGTTTCTGATTTGAGAATGTAGCCCTCTCATTCACTATACATTAGAAACAC